TTTGACTTGTGACTCAGAGGCTTTGGGTGTGAAAGGCAGGGCTTCTATCCCTGGGAGAAGTATGCCCTCACACACAGTGGGTTGGAGGAGACCTTTGTGGAGGGCAATTTGGTGGGCGGGCCATCAACATTTTCAATGCATGTATCTTTTGAACTAGGAATTCCATTGCTCGTAATTTATTCTACAAATATACTTGTACAGGTGTGCCCCCATGTATGTACAAGAATGTGTCCCTGCAGGACTGTTTATGAAAACAACAATATAAAAACAATCTAAGTAGAAACCAATAGGAAACTGGTTAAATAAATAATACATTTAGATTCTGGAAGATTACGTAGTTTTTACAAAAAATATAGCACATTTATTATTGTGGATGTGGATATATTATAAACTGAATAAAGCAGAAGAGGATGTATGGTTTGCTACTATTTGTGTAGAAGCAAAAAGCACACATGCATATGCACAAGCTGTTCCATGTTCTAGCAGAACACATAACAGGGCTTTCTTCTATATACTCTCATATAGTACTGGTGGGAGAATAAGGTGGTACAAACCCTGTAGAAAGTTGCTTGGCAAAAACCATCAATATTATATACACAAATACTCTTTGACACGACAATTCAACTTTGAAGAATTTATCCTACAGATAGCTGCACACGTGCAAGATGAGGAATATACAAGATTGAGCACTGCAGCACTGATCATGACAGCCAGAGAATGGAAATGTTCCACAGCCATACAATGGAATATTATGTAACTGGAGAAAAAGAACAATGAGGCTCTGGACATCCTGACAGGGAAAGATCTTGGAGATAGATGTATACTAAGTGAAAAAGTCTGGAGCAAAACAATGAACCTTAAGTGTTACTTTTGTATAAAGGGGAAATCTAGAGTTGTGTTTATAGTAAATTTACCTAAAGAAATTCTCTGAAAGAATACAGAAGAAGCTGTGAATAAATTGGAGGATAAACAAGTGGGAACTGAGCAAACAAGTGGATTATTGTCTAACTTTATACTTTTTGTTTTTGGATATGTGAGTGTGGGTGAAGAATAGGGAGAGCAGCTTCACTTTTCACTTTCGCCCTGTCATCTAAGTCATTAGCAGGTATTTATCAGTTCAATACATACATAAACACTTATGTGCCTTACTACATAACAGAGGGCCATCTAGAAACAGCACAGCTTGACAAAGCGGGGAGGGGCAGGTCTCAGACCAGGTGTGGCTGAGCAGGGCATTGGCAGGGCTTCTCAGGCCAGCCCACCACCTGCTGGCTGGTTCAGCAATAGGAAAGCAACAGACGTTCTTCATCCAACATGAGGATAACTTCTCCCACTTCCCCCTCCTCGGCCCAGCCCCAGGAGCTTCCCTCCCACACAGTGGGCAGGGTGGGGATACTGACCTTGTGGACACTCTGGGGGTTTTCCAGCCAGGCAAAGTACATCTCCTCCATGTAACTGGAGCTGCCTCCACCTTTGCTGCTTGGGAAGGTGGCTGGTGGCCCAGATGACCTGCTGTGCCAGCTGAACATCTGGACATTATGTGGGGTCAGAATCCTCGTGGCCTGTGCCCCCAACCGGGATGGCAGCAGCCTCAGTTGACTCATTCTGGACACAGGCAATGCGGGAGAGGCATAAACCACAGGACCAGGGCAGAAAGAGGCTCTGGTAGCCAATCCTTCACTCATCTGGCATTTGTCGGTCCTACTAGGCAGTTGGCCCTAGGCAAGGCAGTGACAATTCAAAGGAGAAGGGGACAGTCTGCTAGCCCTCCTAAGTTCACTGCCTAGTGGTAGATCCTAGCTCAATAAACTCTACCTGAACAGCTTTCAGAGTTCCTGAACCCCAGTTCTACAGTGCCCCACCCACTCCAGCCAGAGCTCCCTTCCTGCCATCTCCCAAAACCTGGTACAGAGACAATGGCCCTGCCTCAGGGAGCACCCAGTCCAGGTCCTGAAGCCCACTCAGAGGGTCATAGGGTATGTGCATGCAGAATCCCTAATAAGTAGGCCACACAGCTGGCTACCCCGGAACTTGGGCCAGGGAGTCCTCCAGGGGCTGGCTATACCATGCCTAGTCAGGAAAAAGCCAGAAGATAGGGGTATGGCTGAGTTGCACTATCTCAGGAGGCCCATGGCACAGCTGGGTCTCTGGTCATTGTGACCAAAAGTGACCAGTGACTTCCTCCAACTGCAGTCTGACCCAGAAAGCCACGAGTCCAAACAGCCCCACTTCATAGCAGGGAGGACTGAGGTTCAGAGAAGGGAAGGACACTAGGGACCAGTGAAGGGTAGATCAGAAGGCAGGCACCATGCCCAACTCTTGGTTGGAGCCACTCTCTGGCTCCTGTACCCTGCCCAGAGCTTACATTCAGCACCAATGTCACTCAGGAAAGCTAACAGCTCAGGGAGTACATACAGGCTGGAAGTCCACCCAGGCTGGACAGGAATGAGAATCTGGAGTTTATCTCACTCCCATTATGTCACCTGCTCTTTCTCAGGGAGAATTTCTGAGTAACAGCAGAGAGCTTCTTCCACTCTCCAGAGGACATGAGTTCTAAGAGTTCCCTCCTGAAGAGCCCCCAGGGCTCCCTATCAAGGCAGGCTGAGGATCGACAGGGCCCACTGAGGTTCCTGCTGCCCCCAGACCCTGCCACCACATCCTACACAGGATATATATAGTAGAACCTCTGTTCCCCCACCTCCACTACCATAGTTGTGATCAGCGCCCCATCTTCTGCCCCAGCTCAGCAATACCTGGACACAGAACAGCTTCCCATGAATACCTGCTAATGCTCTTCTGCCCAGAGAATTCCAGCCTGTGAGAGGGATGCAGCACCAGAGACGATACAGGCAGGATGGGGCCTGCTTCCCCTTGTACAACTCAGTCCCAGAAAATGTGCCTTCTGGAACATAACTGGCTCCCAGGTTCTGCCTGGGCCAGGCCCTGAGCCAATGCACCTGTGGCCTGGTGTGCTCAACCAATGGGACCCCTCCCCCACCCAATCAGTTCAACCAAGCCACCAAACCATCTGGCTGGGCCTTCTACAAGGTATCAGGTCCCCAAGGCAGGACAGGGCAGAGCCCTCCCAGCCTGCCTACTCCCTCAGTCCCTCTAAACTCACATGAGGTGAAGGGAAGTGGGGAATGATCTCCTTAAGCAAGGGAAAGTGGGCTCCTCAGGCAACCAGCAGCAAGTCTGAACAGAGAAAAGTTAAAAAGCAAAACTACATTCCAGTGCAGAAAGGAAGGAGGTGGGTTCAGCTGGAACTTCAGCCCCATGTGCCCCAAGCCTCTTTTCCACGTGCTCAGAACCTGAAGTTTTGGACTACGTGCCCAGCCCTGCCAGCCAGTGATGATGCCAGGACTACTAGGGGCTGGCTCTCCCTAGAGCAGCATCTCTCCAAGTGCGGGGTCAGGACTCGAGGCATGGGCTCTGGTGTCAGAATGCCAGGGTCCCAACCCTTGCTCTGCCTCTGACTGGCCCTGAGGCCTGTGCAAATACAGGGCTTCTACAGATAACCACTGGGCCCAGGACCTACTGTCCTGGGCTATCAGAAGAATCTAAACAACCCACGAAGCTCTGCTATCCCCATTCTAAGGCAAGAAAAAGCAGATACCAAGACTATCCATCACGGGAATAAAAATAAGAGCACGCACAGCACTGATTCTAGGGCAGGCATTGTGCTCATTTAACCCTTTCAACAATCTCTTGATGTAGGTACTTGGATTAGCCCCACTTTATAAACAGGGAAACTGAGGCACAGAGAGTTTAAGCTGGTGAGTGACAGGGTTCTGTGTGGATTCAGAGCCTGTACTCTCTTCACTCTGGAGTCAAGATATAAACCAAGATCTCATTTAAATAATGTACTTTCAAACTACTGTTATCAGAGTTGTTCTCTCTGTCTGCGCTGACCTCCATCCCCATGGGAAGGGGCCAGACACAAAGTCTGGCTGTGTCCAGCCTGGCTCGGTGCAGGAACACTGTTTTACAAACACTGAACTGTCTGGCATAGCCACTGGGCACTGCTGTGGCCTTCACCCAGCCTGGCAGGAAGTCAGTCAGCCAGCCATCCCTGTCCCCATCTCAGCAGGGCTTGAGGATCCAGGAACCCTGGAGGACTGGGGACAAAGCCGATCTCAGTATCTGGAGCCAGAGTCCCAGCTAGCTCTGCCAGGTCCTACCTACACAGGTAAAGGCAGCAATGAAGAGTCAGAGTCAGGCACCTTGCACACCCCCTACCTAGCCCAGCCCCCAGGGCACTCCCAGGCAAGTTGCTCTGGGCAGCTCTTGGGAGGGTCTCCTCTCTAGGGACAAGGTCAGTACCATCTCCAGCCCCACCTCAGAACCATAACATCCCTGGACACTAATCTTCCCACACACAATGCCCTGTCTGGGCTGCCCTGGTGAGGACTGCTCTGCAAAACGCCCATTGTAAAAACCAGCTAACAGAGATCCCAAGAAAGGAAAGGCCCTCTCCAAAACCTAGAAGCTGGGCAGTTTCTGAGTGCCCACATTCTGAGAATTGAGTGAGCTTTTCTCAGGAATAAACCCCAATTCCAGTTTGCAGAACCCAAGAGAAAGCCCCGGGGCCAAACTCCAAGGTGGAAAGCAGGGTAGGGAGGGGGTGTGCTTATTTATCTGGCAGAAATGAGGGGCCTGAGCTAAAGCACAGAGGTGGGCAAAGTACAAAGATAAATGGGGCCTGTTCCAATTGCCCAAGGAATGTGTGGGGAGGGAGTGCAAGGGCGGTCTGTGATGGAGGGGTGTCAGAGTGGGGCCCTTGGAGTCCAGTTAATGGCCATTGCATCCTGCTTAAATCTCTGGTGTACCACCATCTTACCACCTCCCGCATCTCCCTGGGGGTGGGAGAAGCACTTCCCAGGCTGGCTGTAACCGCAGGCCAGTCTTGCTTCTCTCAATGCGTCAGTTACCCTATTTGTGAGTGGAGACAGTGGTTAAAACCGTCTATAAGGGCTCTGCCTCCACGAGGTCCTGAGACACTGAAGCTGTCTGCGTGTTCCCACCAGGCACATAACGCTGATCCTTCTCCTTCCCCAGTGCGGCTATCCGCAGCACCGGCCTTGTGACGGGGCGACAAGTAGACCTCCCTAGACTACAAAAGATAGCGTGGACAGTCTGTAGTCTTCGGGCTGGAGAACCCTGGTTATTGCCAGAAACCCCACCGTTAGCGCGTCGCTTCTTTACGCAAATCACGGCCCTCGCAGGGTCGGACCTGCGCGAAGGGTTGGGGGCCTTAAGGGAGGCCGCGCCAGCCAAGGGCGGAGCCAAGGTCACGTTCACCCCCCCCCCGCCTCCCCCATCTAGGCCCCGCTCCGGATTGTGGGCGGCGGCGCCCCAGGACCTGGGAATCGGGAGCAGAGGGGCCGCCACCAAGACGGTGAGAAAAGAGGCGCAAGGACCCGGAGGGGATGGGCTGCCGCGCTCACCCGGCGGGCGAGGTTCCGCGCGGCACGGTGGTCCGCAGGCTGCAGGTCAAGGGTTGAGCGCCGGGGTGTCCAGTGCGCTGTGCCAATTACCTAGGTCACGTGACACGATGGCGCTGGCCGCCCGTGAGCACGCGCCTCGGACTCCGCGCGTCGTGACGTGTCTATGGACGCCCCGCCCCGCCCCTGCCCCCCGCTGGCGCTGTCCGCGGTGCTGACCGTCCAGGTCCGAGGCTCCGTAAACCAAGGGCAGACTACAGGGCATGACGATTCTGTACGGCTGGGAGACTTGGCAAGCTGTTGAGCTCGGAACCCCAGTGTCCTCGTCCGGACACTGAGGAGAGCGTACCAGAAAAAAACAACAGTTTGTGTGTATGAGAGGATAGTTTCCGTTTTATCATCCGTAAAACGGGATGCTATTAAAAGTCCCACTGTCTTAGGGCTGTCTTGAAGAAAAGATGAGATAATGCATATAAAGTGCTTATCATAAAGCCTGATACACATTTTACCCATCCATTGTCCCAGTGATGGAAATCTAGGCTGTCTTCATTTTTTTGTTGCCACAAACAATGCTGCAATAAACATCTTCCTACACATTCCCCTATGAACATGTGTGGAAATTTCTCTAGAATATATAACCAGGAACTGAATTGCTGGGTCCTGAGTACTTAACTTGACTCAGCAATGTCGCATTTCCGCTCAATTCTATACTCCCATAAATAGTGCAAGAGGATTTTCAAGTCCTTATATCCTAGTCAACAGTTGGCAGTGTCCAACTTTCTAACATTTGCCAAAGTAACGGATGCAATGTCATATTATTGTTTTAATCTGTATTTCTCTGATTATCAGCTATTCTCATATCATGCTCTTTGTTAGTTTGGGAGGGTTTCTGTTGTATTCCCCTTGGGTTTTGGTTCTTATTTATATACAGGAGTTTCTTATGTAGGAACATATTCATTTGTGGTTTAAATCACCATCAACTCTCCCATGGATTACTGCAACAGCCAACTAACTGGCCTTGCTTCCACACTTGCACCCCTGAATTTTATTTTATTTTATTTTATTTTATGTATTTCTTATTAATACAGTATTTATTTGTCTTCCCTCTGTCAAATCCTGAGCCAATCACTTTCCCCAGGCTGCCTGGGAATGTATAAGAAAAGGGACATACGGGGCAGATGAGATGCTGGAGAAAGAGCTATGGGAGGTGGAGATGGCTCCTTCACATGGCAAAGAGGATGAGAAAGGCCACCATCAGGCAAAAAGTCCCATGGCCTCTGAGACAGCAGAGCCCAGAATGGCATAGGGGAAGAGCTATTGCTTCAGAGAAGGATTCCTGGCATAACCAATGATAAGCCTCCCAAACACAGTCCCAATTCCAGCCCCAGAGCCAACCACCCCTACTGTGGCAGCCCCAGCCCCAATGAACTTCGCTACTGTGTCAATGTCCCTTAAAATGGCTCTGTTTTGGAAGCTGTGGCTAGAAATAAGTGAGGTCAGGGGACATGGGGTTGTCAAGCTGCTGAGGCTCTCATCTGTCAGTGTCTCAGGTTGTTTCAGCACCACTGTAGACAGTAATTGGCTCAGCAGCTGAGAGGTACTCCTGACCAAGGAGGGGTTAGAGACAAACTTGATGCAGGCATACATTTTCAAGGGATTAGGGGCTATGACAAGACAGCTGCTCCCGGGGTAAAAAAAGATAGAGCACACCCCTGAATTTTAATCTCAACACAGCAGGCAAAGTTTTCCTTGTAAAACACCAATTCAGATCATGTTGCCTCTCTGCTCAAAACTCTCGAATGACTTCCCATTCCACTCCAAGTAAAAGTCAAAATCCTTACATTTGCTTCTAAGGCTCTTTATCTCATTTCAACTACTTCAGGCAACCATGCTTAATGAAGACAATTAGTAAACCAAAATAAATATGTAATGTAATATGCTTCATGTTAATTAAAAGCACATGCCGACAAAACTACAATATACATTTCACAAGAAAACATTCAAATAGATATCAAACGCATTAATATGGTTGCCTATGCGAGTATTGCGGGACGTAGAGGTAATTAATCAATTACCCATACCGATACTGATAAGGTGCCATGAATGGAGGAATATAATTAATTCTGCCCTCTACACCAAAGTCCCCTCCCCCAGAGTTGTTTATTTGAAGATATTTTAAAGTTCATATGGCTAAGAATTATTCTTGTTTAATTTACAATTATATCTCCAGCACTTAGCATAGTGTCCAACTCATAGTATGCTTTCAGTAAATATCTGTTGAATTAATAAATGAATGAGTAAATGGACACTTAACTTGAATCCAAAAAGATAAGTAAGAGTTTGTCTGATGCAGAAGGGTGGAGTTCATTGGGAGTTCTTTGATTAAAAGCACAAAAAAATTACCTGGATGGCTTAAGCCAAAAAGGAGAGGATAAGAAGATTGTCTATAGCACAACTCACAGAGTCAGAGGAAAACTGAAGAATTACTCTCAGGAAGCAGGGCTGAACCAGAAATGGACTGTCTATTCAAGGCTCTTCTGATGTTCAAAATCCAAATTCCAGAAAAAGAGAAGCTAAATAATCTGGTCTGGCCTGAAGCAGGTGAGAAGGGCATGGAGCCACCCATTTGAAACATACTTAGACTGAGAAGCAAGGCAGATGGTTTAGGGGATGCTGATACCACAAGAAATAGAAATGAACACTGGGGAGGAAAAATCAACACATATGCACCAAAGACCTCCAGCAGGAAAGCATCATAGGCAAAGGCAGACTTGTATGAAGAGCTAGGGGAATGGAAACAGCCTGGATGTGTACAGGGGGCTGGTAGCCTAGGGCAGGTGGGACCCAGTTTTGTATACCATGGTAAGGGGTTTGGACTCTATCCAGTAGGCTATGGGACACCAGCAACATTTTAAACTGTCAAGAACATGTTCAAATTTGCTTTTTGGAAAGCTTTCTCTGGCAACTAGAGGGAGGACAGAGTGGTAACAGTTGAGAGCAAAGATGTATCCAGATGAGAGGCAAAAATACACTGGCAGTAGAGATAAAGGAGGACATACACTTAGGAATCAGCTTTGTAGGGTTTTGTGGTTGACTAGGCAGAGTGTTGGGGCAATGATAACTCACAGATTTCTGGTTTCAGTGACTTTGGGGGATACTGACTGGAACCTCTTAGTGAATTGAGAAATAGGAAGAGATGTAAGTTAAGAAAAATGACAGAAAAATTTACTAGTTGGAGCCCCGAATGATCCACCTAACAAAGATGAAGTGTGTGACATGGAGCAGCAGGCAGGAAAAAAGCCCTAGCAAACCAAAAGGTCCCAGAGACTCCTGTTTGCCCATAGTAGTCTTCGGTCATGAGAGGAAACACGGGGCCGTGGACACAGAGAAAGCCACATTGGTTGAAGAAAAGCTGAGTCACCAAAGGGACTGGGCAGGGCAGCCAAGGACAGAAGCCACAGCCGTGGGAGCCTGCAGGGCTGCCAGACCTTCCAGCCTAATTGATGCTCTGCTAATTACACTGATTAAAGCAAACTTTTAGGGCAATCAAGCCTCTCATGAGGTTAGCTGCCATTCTTAGAAGACTGAAGAGTTTGATGAATGACTGTGAAGATCTGCAAAAGATCTTCAGAAGCAGACACCTTCCTTTCCTTATGTATTTATGTCAGAACATGCAAGTTTGTGTTTATTCTGGTTGTACAGAATTCAAGTTATACTGGACACAGAGCAAAAGGTGAAAAGTCCCCCCTTCAAAATGCCCCAACTTCACCTTACTCCCCCTCCAGTTAGTGGGGGACTTCTGGCCAGGGTGGTGAACATCTTCACAAAACTGTGTATTTACCTATGTTTATTTTATAAATACACAGTTATAAAAACATATAATGGATCCACTAGAATATAGTTCTGCAATTTGCTTCTTTTATCCCCTTGTCTTGAAGATCTTTATTTTAATCTCAGTATATGTAGGAACATTCACTTTTTAATGGGTATATTGTATTCATTTTACATGTATAGTATTTGTATTTAACTTCTCTCCCATGGAATGGACATTTACATTCTTTTTGACATTTACGGGAGAAAAAAAAAGTCCTCCTATGTATAGATCTTTTAGCACATGTGCAATTATTTTAGTAACATTGATTCCTAGAAGTTTAACACTGGGTTAAAGAATATAAATGTTTTAAAATTTTAATAGATTTTGTCTTTGGTAAGACCATTCCAATTTATGCTTCCCTGTTAGCATTTAAGAGTTCTCACTTCATTACATTCTTGTCAAGAGTTGTTATTATCAATCTTTTTAATTTTTGCTAATCCGATAAATGAAAAAAAAATCTCATTTTGTTCCAGTTTGTGTAAAATTGATAAATGAAGTTGAGAATCTTCTTACATATTGATTATTTTGTATTTCTTTTCTGTGAATTTCCTGTTCATGTTCTTTGCCCATTTTTCTATTGGGTTGTTTACATTTTTCTTATTGATTATATAAACTCTATATATTATGGATAAAAATAATCTGTATATTATAAATGTTGTAAATATTTATTTCTCCCAGTCTGTCACTTGTCTTTTAACTTTGTTTATAGATGCTTTAGCCATATGGTAATTTATGCTCTTCATGAGCTAAATTGTGTCCCACCAAGTTCATGTGTTGATGTCCTAACACCCAATCCATCAGAATGTGATCGTATTTGGAGATAAAGTCTTTAAAAAGATAATTAAGTTAAAATAAGCTCTTTTGGGTAGACTTAATCTAAAATGACTGGAGTACTTATAAGAAGAGAAAATTTGGACACAGATATCCACACACACAGAGGGCAGACAATGTGAAAACAGAGAAAGAAGACAAACTAAGGAGAGAGGCCTCAAAAGAAACCAACCCTGATGACACTTTGATCTTGTCTTCTGGCCTCCAGAACTGTGAGGAAATAAATGTCTGTTGTTTAAGCCTTCCAGTCTGCAGTGTTTTGTTATGGCAGCCTGAGCAAATGACCCAGTGCTCTTGTTGGAGGCTTCATTCCTTGATTTGAGAACCACTCAAGACTCTAGGGTTTTCTCTCAATTCCAGCTTCTCCTGGGCTCAGGCTGCTATCCTCAAGCAGTGTAAAGCTGGT